CTCCCTCCCTCCCTCCCTCCATCCCTCCCTCCATCCCTCCCTCTCACTCACTCACTCACTCACTCACTCTCTCTCACTCTGTCAGTCTCCCTCTCAGGGCACCGGGTGGTAGGAGGACGGAGCAACAGCGACAGGTTGTCGAGCACGTCAGCCCTCTGTCAGGCTGTGCCTGGGCTGTGCCTGGGCTGTGCCTGCGCTGTGCGATGACCCTGTGTCACCCTGTGTCGCCCGAGTCCCTCCCCCGCCGCCCGCCTGCCTGCGTGCCTGCCGGTCGGATTAGCTGGGGTCTCCGGGCCCGGGGCTGCACAACAGGTGAGCCGGCTGGTGCGGGGGAGGAGAGGGGAGGGGGCGGCGGTCTGAGAAGCATCGGGGCCCTTCCCCTGACCCACCGACCCTCCGAGTTCTCCAGCTGATTCACCAGAACACGGCAAAGAAAAGCGGACCGAACCGCCGCCACGCCGCGTGATTTTCCAAGCTTGTTGTCGCCTTCGCGGTACCTGTTGTTGTTGATGATTTTGTTGTTGATGCTGTTGTTGTTGTTGTTGTTGCTGTTGTTTCCCCTCTATTCTTTTTATCCCCTTCTGACCCGTTCTATCCTTGCTGAAATGTTCGCGTCTTCCTCTCTCACTCTTCAACAGAACTTCTACGCAGGATCTTTGCAGGATCTTCGCAGTGGAGAGGGTGGATCCACCAGATGAGCACAGGGGAGCCCCCCGCAGTCCCATGCCCGGTCTCTGGGCCACCCTTTGGGTTCCCGTTCTGTATCACCCCACAGGGTCACCTCTGACGCATTCCTCTGGGGCACCTTTTTGTGGGCCACCCTTATGGGCCACCCTTATGGACCACCCTTATGGGTCACCCTTATGGGTCACCCTTGTGGGTCACCCTTATGGGTCACCCTTATGGGTCACCCTTACGGGTAACTCTTTTGGATCCCCTTATTGGTCACTCTTTCGGGTTTTCATATTGGTCACCTTTATGGGTCATCTTACGGGTCACCCTTATTGGCCACCCTTAGGGTTACGCTGTGGGTCATCCCTTGCACCCAGAGGCTCGTTTCCCACGGGCGGGCCGGGCGGCGCCGCCGGGCAGTGCCCCGCCAGCCGCCGGCACCCTCCTGGGGTGACCCTATGGCTCGCGCCGCGTCGTCGCCAGCCTGGACGGCCGGCCGGCCCGGCGCGACCTTCGGCGGAGGTGGGCGACGGCGCGCCAGCCCAGGACGACACCCTCCGGTCGCCTCCGGTCGCCTCCGGTCGCCTCCGGTTTTCCGGCCCGCCCCTGCCGCGCCCAGCCCAGCCCGGTGGCTCCGGCGCCTCCGGCGGGTGTGGCGCCTGTCCTGCGGTCCGGTCTGGGGGGACCCTTAGGGGCACCTTAGGGGGGTCAGGCGCCACCAAGCCACGACAAAAACCACTCGACAGGTATGATGTACGGTGTCTTTATCTCGCCCGTCTGAGCAGAGAAAACACGGGGAAGACAGGGAGCACGTGGGGGAGTGGGATGGGGGTGTGGTGGTGGTAGAGGAGAGGGGAGGGGGGGTAAATTAGTCCCTCTGTGCAAACGGGCAGCACCCTGCTTGCATCACGTTACAGGCAGGGACCAGCACTCCATTTCACGGACGAATGACTGGCCTAATAATGAATCACATAGAAACTCGCTCTCTCGCGCCCCCCCCCTACCCTGTCTCGCTGCT